TTCTCTCCTGAGTTTCTCAATCTCTTCGTTTTCTCATCTGTCATCCTTCCTTAGTTTTTCGCTTCCCATATTTTCCTCGCTCACTCTCTCTCTGGTACAGATGAGCAAACAACAGGCCTAACCTAGAAGGCCTCCCCAGGGCTGAACTGCCACAAGCGATATACAGTGAAGAAGACTATCCGTCTGTAGGGGTTACGGGCGGCGGTGTGATTGGTTGTCCCTGGTGATGGTTGGCGGCTATTAGAAACTTGAACGAACAATTATAGAAGGAAAGAGAGAAATCAAAAACACCTCGTCGATATGGATCCCCAGTTAAGTTTGTATTCTGTCTTCTCCTTTTTACATCTATTACAAAGCTTTCAAAAAATAAAATAAAATAATAAAGTAAATAAAAATAAATTTCTTTTATTTTTTTTGGAATTAATTTGATGTTATTACTATTAATGCTAAATTTTTTTAAAAAAAATATTAGGTTAATTGTGATTACTTGAAATAAATAAACATAATTATAATAAAATATTTTTTATTTATAAAAGATAATAGTTCCATAAGATAAAAATTAATTTAATTATTATAATTTTATTAATATAATAATTAATTTCACTTTCAATCCTGTTACATCATACAATTAACTCTTAATAAACTTACAAAATATCGAATTATATGCTTTTATTGCTATCGAACTCTATGCCTCAATAATTATATTATTATTTATATAATTACATCTTTTTGTACTGGAACTTATTTTTTATGATTTTATTCTAATTTTGACTTTAAAATACTAAAATTAACTCTAATTTTTAAATTTTCATTTTTTTTATTTTATTTGTAAATTAATAATTTTTTTTTTTTAATTTAACAGATGGAATACCAAGGAAGTATTTTTATTACTAAATTGTTAAATTTATCAAATTATTGACAAAAATAATATATTATACAAGTGGATAAATTAAATAAATAATTTTTTTACTTCTACTAATTATAATAAATTTATCGCATTATATATTTACCAATATAGCATAGTATCATACTATGTCAACTTACCAATTAGTGACTAAGGAAATAGACAAAACTATATAGAAAATAAAGTATTTGAAGTCAATGTTACTAAAATCAATAAGTCTTGTTTTCTTATAATTTTTAAATATTTAGCGAGAAAATACTTTTAATTGATGAAGTTTTAATTTTAGAATATTTATAGAGTGTTGTTATTATATTATATGTTATTTTATTAGTTTTAAAAAGTATAAACATAGTACAACATCTTACTATGCTAAAATTGCTAATTTGTAGATAATAGACATAAAAGAGCAAGTAGAAAGCAAAAATATTTGAAATTATTATTTGTTAAAATTATTAACTCTTATTAGTTTTACATACGATTTTTTATATTCGCTAAAAAAATTTGATTGATATGTTATTGTTTTATTATTTTTTCTTTTTAAATTTCAGGTGTTAATAATGAAATATATTTTTAATCTTTCAATACAAGATGCTCCTTGTTCAAAGCATTTTACCTGTAATGCCCAATTAGTATTAAAATAAATATAATTTTTTATATTTTAAAATTTTAAAATAATATAAAAATAAAGAAAAATAAGTAAATGATGAAATTGAAAATAATTTTAGAAAAAATAGGTGAAATTTGGGTTTTGGAGGTATTTTTAAAAAGAAAAATTAAAAATTAGAGATCAAAACATAATTTAAAAAAAATATGTCACATAAGATGCCCAATCAGCAGCACCAACGAACCAGAACGCGCTGCGTGGGAACGGACGTTGACGCGATGCCACACGGGAGGTCACACGGGCGATTCGCGTGGTCGCGATCGGACGGTCTAGATTCACTCCCGCGCGCACGAACGGCCCAAATGTATTCC